GCCAATGCTAAAGCCTCGGCAAACGGAAATGCCGACGCCAGTGCCAATGCAGTAGCTAATGCAGGCTCTGGTAACGTAGGATCAAATTATGTTCCTGGGACAGTCGACTCCTACGGTGCACCCATAAACGTAGGATTTAGAGGATCAGGTGGTGGAAATTCTGGGGCAACGGCAAGTGCCAATGCAGTTGCCAACGGAAACGGCGCCTCCGCAAATGCTAATGCAAAAGCCGTTGCCAATGGCTCATTCGGGGGCTATGGAAATGGCGGAGCTAGGGCATCAGCCACTGCCAATGCCAATGCCAATGCCAATGCCAATGCAGTTGGAGGATTGGAATCAAAAAGCTCAGCATCTGCCGACGCCGTTGCAACTGTTGACACTAGGCAGATGCTCGTGTTCACTGACTAGATCCTTATAATACCCATCATTACAATGACGTCGATATGTTATCTCTTCTGATTGTATAATAGTATTTATCAAAAGAATCCTTAGATTTATTTTTGAGCTCGTCGAAACAGTATGAGCTAAATTGTTGGGACAGCAGTGGATTCTGTTCGGAATGATTTATGGTGGCATTTTATGGTCACGAGTGTTAAGGACTGCTGGATGAAAATATGCAGGTATTACTCAGGTAGTGGTGGTGTTAAAAAGTTGTGAAACCAGTTTCACGGGAATTACGCCGGTCCGTCGCGCCGAATCACCATCTTCTGCATCCCCAGCTCAATGCCGTAAATACTCTTTCGTGTGATGTTTGTCCTTTATGTATTTTTTTCATTTTTCAATGCTCAAGGCGATTAAATGTAATTATATTTCATATGCATTCATCGGAATTCCCGAGACTCTTATTATTTTCTTCTGTCATTACTTTAATTACTGAAGATTCACCTATACATATTCTTCAGATTTATTTATAGATCATCGAATATATAAGGAAATGGAAATCATGTGATGTCATGTTTTAAATTGTTTACAATAAAATTCGGTTGATTGAAGGAAAATGGAGATGAGGATTCTTTTTTTTTTAGTGATACTGGAATTTAATGAGTGATGACTGAATTTTATTGCAGAAATGTCTTCTGTGTTGCTAAAGGAGATAAGTAAAATAGAGGGGATTATCTCGTCAGTTTTTAAAATTATGATTACTAAGATTGATTTGCTATGCGGGAGTTGTTATATTCTAATGAGATGTCACTGATGAATGGAGTAAACAGGTAATTAAAAACCTGGAATATTGGAGGTCTGTTGACAGTTTCGTGGTATTTCATCGGTGAAATGATCATGAGCTGTCAGGAATGTGAAAGAAAACAGGAAGAAACGTTAATTATCTTATTCCGTAGTTTTATAATATTTTTATGGCATTTCAGCTCGGATGGGTGCTCATTAAAGTGTAAGAATTTAAAGTAGTGAAATTCCGAAATCTCATTATCTCAGAAAATACTCATTCCAATGGTATGAAATAACAATTGGATTTTGATATTTTACTCAAAAATATATATATATATTTATATTTTATATGTCTTTTTTTAATTTTTAAGTTGAAAGATTCAATTATGATTTTTTTTCGGAATATTTTCTAACGCCTAGTGAAAATCCTGAGACATGAGAATTTCGTATAAGTGAACAATTGATATTTTCCGCATTATTTGCGACGTGTAAAAACCTCAGGTAATTTTCCAGGTAGACAGGTGTCATTTTGGCTGAACCCCCCAAGAGATTACCTCCCCCCAAGCACCCAAATCCAGGTCACTAAACTTCATCGAAATTTCAAATTCTAAAGACTAATGACAGGAAAAGAGGGAAAGAAGGGGAAAAATTCATCAGGTAGGAGTTTATTTCCGACGATGCACCTGAAGGAAATTATTTTCGGCACTCATTACAGAAGTGTCTGCCCAACTTAGTGCATTACTCCAAAATCTTCTTCACTAATCAACAATGAAGCTCGTTGTTATCTTAATTTTTGTTACTCTGGGTGTAGCTTTGGCTATTCCTACGCTGCCATCAATCGACAGTGAGTTGAACATTTACATAAATCTTAAAAAAAATCAATAATATTTGATACTAAAATTTGTAATTTATTTCAAGTCATGCGGCTCGAGGACTTGATCGCGACTGGAGAAGTGGACATGAGATCTTTCGTCAGAGAGAAGAGAATCGATCGGACGTAAGAGCGCTTTAAAAATCAATCAATATTTATTTATTTTCTATTAATCAGTCAAAGCATATTGTTTATACCTCCGCCATCATAATTAATAAGTTATAATTTCAAAAATCCCCTGTTTGCTGATATTCATTAATATTCACGATCATTTTTTGAATTTTCCCTCAGGCCGCAGCCGCGCGATCGCAGACGACGTTTAAGGAAAAAAGAACATTACGATACAATCGTCCGATATTACTAGCGCCTTTTCTTCAAGCGTTTATCGAAAAAAAAATCTTGGTAAAAAGCTCGTCTTGATCTAGCAGTAGGCGAAAATCACTCATCAAGATCTTCAATCAAATCATCTCCATTTATGTCCAGTTATTGATTTGTATTTTCATTTATGAAGAAACCGATGGAGAAATACCAGATTGTATCGCCTTAGCATTTAATAATTAATAAAATTGCGAGTTCATGCCAAAGACATTAACTCATTTCAATTAAACCGTTTATTCAATCTTTCTATCGTCCCATATTATTTATCAAACTCCGTTATTAATTATCACGTTCTCTTGAATATTTTTTAAACAAAAATAAACATCATTGTAATTAATATGTAAAATAGAAAAATAAAAATGTTTACGTCT